GCTACCCGTCAGTCCTAAGCCCCAGACTCACTTTGCTCTGAGGAGGGGAAGGCATTTTGGTGAGATGCCTGTGACTCAGCTAAGCATTCACCTGGAAAGCTCCGCAGCAAGGCGCCCAAGGAAACCCTCTAGAGAGAGAGGCTGATGGGTTCAAACAGCTACCTGCCAATCATTCCTTTGCTGCCTTGTGCCCAAGAGTCTAGGGCTAATTGTAAACCTGGGAGCATCTAGGGAAAACCCCAAACCACAGTTTTTATTGTTGCCACATTTTGTTGCCACATTTTCCTCTTCTGTGGATACCCTCCCTTCCACCCCAGGTAAGGACCAGGGAAAGAAGATAGGAAAGAGGTGGAAGCTAGAGAGAAAATTTTGGTTGAAAGAACTCAGTGTGTGGCCCCAGTTGTCAAAGTGGCACTGGGAAAGTCCATTTACCACTGGGCATCTGTAAACAGAGTTCCCTTCCAGCACTGAGATGATTCTGTTCTAATTTCCTATGTTCTTTTAACTTCTGTAAGAGGTGAGGGGGAGTCCCTTGGTGGTGTAAATGGGGCTAATCAAAAGGTTGGAGGTTCAAGTCCACCAGAGGCATCTCAGAAGAAAGCCCTGGGGATCTACTTCTGAGAAACCAGCCTATGGAGCATAGTTCTACTCTGACGCACATGGGGTCACCATTAGTTGGAATCGACTTGATGGCAACTGGTTGGTTAAGAGGTGAGGAAGACAGAAATTACTATACCTGAAGGCTGTATTTAATTACCCACTGACAACCTCCCTCCCAGAATTAAACTCTAAAATATCAACATGTAATGAGAGGTTCCCTGGCAGGAGACATAGCCTGATTGAAGGTACAAACATATCTCAAGAAGGAATGCATTACCTGAAGGAACTTGGTCAGCCTTAGAGACAAAGAAAGGAGACTCTTAGAGGACATTACTGAGCACAGCTCTTTTAAACTCGGTCTGGTGGAGAGAGATCAGAGTCTTATGGGAATATCTGGCCCGTCTGTTAGGTATACCACTATTGTGGAGACAGATGCAGCCAACCGACAAGGCCTAATGACATTATACTTCCCTATTATAAAAACAGGAGCCCTGGTGGCACAATGGTTAACCATTTGGCTGCTAACCAAAAGGTCAGCAGTTCAAATCCACCAGCCACTCCTTGGAAACCCTATGGGGTAGTTCTGCTCCGTCCCATAGGGTCACTGTGAGTTGGAATCGACTTGACAGCAAGGGGTTTGGTTTTTGGTTTTGGTATTACAAAACCAACATCCTCTATTATGATTCCAAACTCTCCAGGTAGCATCTGATCATCTGCCTTCCCATGTTGGCCTTCAGGGAGCAAAGATATCTAACTGCCCACGACCAGTCTTATGTACAGGCCTTTGTGAGTTGGTGGGTCTAAGTCAGCCTCCCTGAGGAAGATGATTGCTGGATAGGACTGAGTTTCTGAGCCTCTGAGGATGAGGCCCGGCCCAGGGCCAGAGTGCATTCATTCGCCCCGTGGGGCCCTGTCTATGAAGCCAGCTGGTCCTTCCCAGCGCACAGCCTTGTCTAATTTGAACTACGTCCATGTCATGGATGAGTAAAATCAAAGGTAGGGCCAAGTCTAACAATTCATTGATTCACTAGTTCCTTCATATGATCTTGAACTGTATATCCTGAGTATTTCTCATTTTGCTACCACCACCAATCCAATCCACATTATATAATAATGTGCCTGACAACCACCCAGGAAAGGCTTTGTGGTCTCATTTTACAGATGGGGCAACTGAGGATCAAAAGAAGCTAATTATGGCCACAAGCTAAGATGGCTGGGATTAAATGAGCTATGTCTGCCTATCTCGAAAGCTTGTGCTTAATTATCATTTTTTAACATTGTGTGGGGACTAGGGAGACTTCCAGAAGAGTAGCATCCTCAGCACGTTTCCTCAGTCCGAAAGTGGACATCATGACCCTTACTTATTGACAGCGGAGGTGAAAAAATAGGAATATGCCCTGATTAGAGAAGGCAGCCTGTGGAAAGGAGCAGACTACTAGGTGGGCTCTGAACATCCCAGAGGACTCTAGCTGCCTGCTTTGACCCTGACACAGGAAACAAGATAACCTAGATGCTAAGCAAAGCAAGAGACATGGAACGTAGAGGCCTGGGTGGGCACGTGATGGATTGTTCTGTCCTCCACAGCAACGGAGTTAAAACAGAGAAAGATCAGTCACTGCACTCCTGGCTTGTCCCCCCACCCCATGGTGCCTCAGGCAACGGTGACATCTCCTCCCCACCTTCCTGAACCTGTATGGTGGGAGGTTTGGTTTTTGACCTGGCAATCAGGAGACCTTCTTCAATATTCCAGCTTTGACACAAATAATCTATGTTATCTGGGGCAGGTCATTTACGCTCTCAAAGATTTCTCTGAGATAGCTTCTCTTTCTATAGATTTCTAACTCCTAAAAACCAAATACTTCTTTTCTGAATAATCTGTGAAGTAGTCAACAATTTAGGTAATGCACGTGAAAGTTATGCACACGACAGACTGGGGTGACTCAAGGCCAGAGAGACATACGGATGACCCAGAAGGCCATACCTGTGGGCTCCTTCAAAGGAACACCCTTCTATATACTTGCTCAACATTTCTTTGGTAGGTGTTAAAACTATTTCTATAGTAAAAAATATTTATGTTTAAAATCAGGAGTTAACAATAGCTAGATACTGTTAGAGTCCCTGGGTGGTATAAACAGTTAACACACTTGACAGCTAACCAGAAGGTTGGAGGTTTCAGTCTACCCAGAGGCGCCTCGGAAGAAAGCCCTGGCAATCTATTTCTGAAAAATCAGCCATTGAAAACCACATGGAGCACAGTTCTACTCTGACACACATGGGGTCTGCATGAGTTGGAGTCGATGAGATGGCAACTGGTTTGTTTTTTAGTGTTAGTTACCACACTTAACTAAAGATGGATATAGCCATAAAGTCTTTCAAATAATGTTTACACTCTCTTTTCTGGTTGGCCAAACTATTGTCTTTTCTGCAATTTCTGTTTTCTTTCTAGGGTTTTTTTTTTTCCCCCGCAAGCCAGACATTTCTGGGGGAGCCATATTAAAAGATTTTATATTTAGATAATAGAATAAAATGCTCATTTGCAGTAAACAGCACCGTACCAGGCATTATTCAGTTTCAGAATTTTAGCTGGAAGGAGACAGCTGGCTTCAAGAGACTGTCAGCTGGCTGATCTCAGGGTTGCCTGTAATTATGTTGCAAAAATATCATCAGAGATATGTTGGCATCTGGAAGGCTTGTTTTTAAATGCCCATTGGAAGGTACTGTCTATTTCAGTAGACAGTGAACATTTTCCAGTAACGTGAGGTGTCTCATGAGCAAAACTGAGATAAAAGGCACCATATTTCAGCAATATTTTCGTGCTTCCTTACAGAGAAGCATTCTGGCCAGCTGTTTCATCTGACTCCGGGCATGGTAGGAAGGCATCGGGGTGACAGAGACCTGGGTGTTTGAGTTAATCTCTCTGAGCCTGTTTCTCCCTCTGTAAAATGGTGATTGTATCTATCCCGTAGAGTTGTTGTGAGCATTAAAGATAATATTATGCCTGCCATAGAAAAAGTCATGAATGGGGCTTATTATTTAAAAGCACACTGTATAGCATAGTATACTGTATAGTAAAACACCAGCAATTATCCTCTCTCTGCTAACCCTTAATAGCCTTATTAACATGTTGCTGCTTTGAAGAGTTAGTTCTAGAGCCCAGGACTGTAATAAAAGGCTGGTTTCTGCGAGCGGCAAACATTCAGCACTCAGTCTATGCTGTATCATATTGTCATGAATCCTGCGAGGGACAAGTCTTGGGTGGGCAGTGGTTCCCAGCATAGACAGACCTGTGACTCTGCCCTTCTGTGTCTGTCATCTCAGAAAAACTGCTTTGTCAGAAATGTGTGTGCATCTCATAGGTCGTGTTATCACCCTCTGCACTCCCAACTTCAGTCACATGGATCTATTTGCAGTTTCCAAATACACGGGGCCCACTTTCCTGCTTAGCAGCTTGTTGCCTCCGCAGGACAACTTTCTTCTCCCACCCGCTGCTCGGCTAATTCCTAGTCTTCTCAGTTTAGGTATGTCTTCCTCCAACAGCCTTTCCTGGCCCCCAATACTTGATTAGGTGCCTTTCCCATCTGCCTGCTCGCTCGGCATCCTTGGTTTACCCCCTTGGTTAGTACATTGACATCACCTAGTCATTGGTCAGGAGTCCCTAGGTGGTGCAAACAGTTAAGTGCTCAACTACTAACCGAAAGGTTGGTGGTTTGAATCCCCCCAGAGATGCCTTGGAAGAAAGGCCTGGTGACTTGCTTCCTTCCAAAAGGTCACAGCCTTGAAAACCCTATGAAGTGCAGTTCTTGTCTGCAACAGATGGAGTCACCATGGGTCAGAATTGACTGGATGGCAACGGGTTTGGTTTTGGGGAGTCACTATTCTGCCCTCTTGGCTGGTACTTTAGGGTTTACTCCATGTATGAGTCAGAATCGACTCGATGGCGAGTTTGGGTTTTTTCAGTATGTGCCAGGCACAGTCCGTACTGCTTTATGTACATGATCTCATTGAAGTCTTATACCAATCCTATGAAATAGGTGTTAGAACAGATGAGGAAACTGAGGCTCTGAGAGGGTAAAAGATTTGCTGAATATCACACAGATACAAGCAGAAGAGCTGGGATTTGAACCCAGGCCTGCCTGACTCCAAACCCTTTGCGGTCAAGTATAAATTTCTTCAGGGCTTACAGAGTTTTAACACAGGGAAGGCACTTAGTAATAATAAAAAAAAACAAATCCATTGTCATCAAGTTGTTTCCGACTCATAGTGACCCTATAGGCCAGAGTAGAACTGCCCCATATGGTTTCCAAAGCTGTAAATCTTTATGGAAGCAGCTTGCCACATTTTTCTCCCAAGGAAAAGCTGGTGGGTTTGAATCGCTGACCTTTCTATTAGCAGCTCAGTGCTTCAACCACTTTGCCATCAGGGCTCCTGATTCACCAAGAATAGCTATTATTATTTATTATTGTTTTGATCCAAACAGACTGTAAGCCCCTGGAAGGAGGGAATCTTAACTCACACTCATATCCCTAGGACAATGCCGCAACCAGCGCGGAGGCAGTGTGTGAGACCAGAATGTAACCTCCTGGAGAGCAAGGACTCTGCATTTGGCTGCTTGTGGAGACCCCAGGGTACCATTAATCACTCTCAGTAACTGATTAACGTGTGTTTTCTCTCACACGATCTCTGTATTTAAGAGACGTTTCAGTCCTTGTCACACTTTGGCCCCTTTCCACCTCTGAGCGAGGAGAGCGTGGGGACAGCAGGGGGGTCGAACACAAGAGTGGATGTGACTTTCTGAAGAGGCACACAGGAACCACCAACCACCTAAATAAACGTCCTCTTTATTTTACCAAATATAATTTATCAGTTGACATTTGTCAATTCAGTTATAGTAACTATAAATAATTCTCTTAAGATACAGTTCTGTAACTTTTTAAGGATACAAGAGTAAACCAATATCCCTCCTTGCGGCCAGGCCAAAAGTACATGGAGTTTGTGCAATCGGGAATAGAAATGAGTCTTCCATGGAAGTCATTTTCTCTCCCCCTCGCCCCAGTCCCCTTTCTGCTCACACACTCTGGACCTGGGGCACGCCTACCTTTCTGCTTTTTAGACAAAGGACATTTCACAGTCCTCCGGACAGCCTGGCCAAACTGCAGAGATGGGGAGGGGAGTGACTGGGGGAGGGGGCCTGAAGATCATAGGGCACAGTCTCAGGGCGAGAGGAGTTGGTTTTGGTGCCTGTACAAGAAAAGTCTGTGTGCAAGTGTGTTTTGAGGTTGAGGACAAGATGAAAGAAGGCCTGAGGGAAGAGCAGAAACAAGCCCAGGCTGCTGTTCATTAACTCCGTCAGACACAACTCTAGCAGATAACCTCTAAGATGCCTTTCAGTTCCAAGGTTCTACGACTCCACAAGGTGGCGTGGGCGGGAATGGAGGGAGAGAAGAGTCTCAGGAGGTATCGGGCAAGTCCCTGGGTGAAGGCATGGCATTGATAGGAGATAGGGTCATTGCCTAAGCCTTCCCTTGGAGGTGGGACCTTTAGCTACAGAGGGGAGACTTCTAACAGAAAGGCTAGAAAAGGCCTGCACCCAAATGCCCAGATTTGTACACGTGTGAGTGTGGGCAAATTTCCAATCTGTTCAGAGGAATATATGGGGGAAGATGCAGAGGTTCCAGCTTCCTCCTCATCTTATGCCAGGCAGGGAAGAGTAGACACAGCTGGTTGATGTCCAGCCCACTAGTTCTGAATCCTGTTTTGGGTGCCTGGTGAGGAGAAGTGGCAGTAAGGGAGAGGAAGGCAGGGTAGTTTCGGGAAATGACCATTGGTTGAGAAATGGGGCTAAGGGCTCTCGTGGTCAGCATTGCAGAGGTGGGATCTAAGAAGGAGGAAGAGGCAGAACCTGGCCTGGTGATATAGACTCAAACACTTACGAGGAAACTGTCAGATTGAAAGGGGTTCACTGCCTTCGTAATCTGGGGAATGAGACGAAGTTGGAGCTGTGTTTCCCTTACGACTAGACTGTCAGTGCCCCACACAGTACCTAACACATAGTAGGCACTCAATAAATATTGCTCAATGAATGTTTCAGATCATGCCTTGAGAAAAGCTCACCTTGGAGGAGGCTGTGTATGTGTTGAATGAGTGACTGAATGAACGATGTTTGTGGGCAGAAGGCAAGGAAGAGGAAATCTCACTTCCATGACATGACAGAATAAGTGGTTTTAGGATGTGACAGAGTCCAAGGTGACTACACATGATTATGTCCTTAGGAGAAACAGCAGCAATTAATCACCCCTGGTTGCCCTCAACCTCCCAATCATACTCCACATCTCCACACTCAGTCCCTAATTTCGGAATCCAACCTAGCAAGCTCTGGGGAAAGTAGTGCTTAGAGACATTTTAGAGATGAAGGTTGAACAGAAACAAATAATCAGTCCTTTGGGCCTGGGGAGAATGTGGATCTTGGCAAACCTATGGGTGGACTTGGGTCAATGGGGGGACCAGGCCACTGCTCATTCCTCCGGGATGTGGCATCAACTGGACAAAGATCAGAGGAAGGGTTGGTGGTGTTTATCAGGCAGTCAGGTAAGAGGCATGTCCACAATTTGCCTAGTCAGTCCACCTTACTCTTTCTAAGCACAGGAGGGCCTAAGTCCATAGGGCAGAGGATAGGGCTAGGATTATAGGTGGCCAGAAGCAGTTGTCTCCTGCCCAGTGCTTTGAGATTGGTCCACTTCTAGAAGAGCATGTGTTGGGGGCAGTGATATTTCTCCTTCTGTTCAACAAGGAAAAAGAAAAAAAAAAAAGGAAAGAAGAAACCAAAAACCAGAGCCCACTCACAAAGGGTTTCTCATTAGGGCCAAGACTGAGGTTGCTAAAACTAAACCCAAACGTCCCCAGATCCCAGACAGAATACCCCATGCCTCAATCCACCTGGAGGCACCCACCATGAAACTGCACTTGGTGATTGTCTCTTGCACTGCTTATCTCAGTCCATCTGTCCTTCCTGATTTCCTGCTATATAAACTTGGCTCAATGTATAAAAATTCCCATTGAAAATAATGAGAATTCAGTATCAAAGTGAAGTCCCAGAAAGAGGTGGGAGTGTGGAGTGGAGGGGGGGAATGGGAACAAAAGAACAATTTCAGATAGAAAGTGCAGGGGGGTGGAGAGAAGACTGAGTGACCAAACTAGTCCCCGACATCCGTGTCTCGGTCCCCAATGAGCCAGAGAATATGGAAGCTGAGTGCTAGGAGCCCAGTGCCAAGCAGGTCCCCCAGAGCTGTCAAGTACGGGATGGAGAAGTTGTCCGGGTCCAGACCCCGGCCCCACATCCAGTGCACCATCCAGTCTGCGATGTAGAGGAGAATCAGCACCTGGAGAGACAGAAGGGCCCAGACTGTAGCCATCCCCTCTCTCCAGGGGGAGCCAGAGGCCATGCGATTGCACCCATTCATTGCATCAGAAAGTTTGGCTATCCACAATCCTTAGCCTGAGACAGCTCATTTTCCCACCTCGAAGCAAAATGAGAGCTCTTTAGAAAGGAAGATGCTTCTGCTACCGGGGTCACCCACATCAGCCTTACACTCTGCTCCTAAATTTACCAAACCCATTGCTATAAGTCAATTCTGACTTGTGGCAACCCCATGTGTTACAGAGTAGAACTGCTCCACAGGGTTTTCTTGGCTGTAATCTTTATGGAAGCAGATCATCAGGCCTTTCTTCTACTGTGCCACTGGGTGGGTTCTAACCACCAACCTTTATGTTAGCAGCTGAGCACTTAACCATTTGTACCACCCACAGACCAAACAAGGGGCTTCCTAACCTAAACCCTACTTGTTTCAGGAACTCAGCCCTCTTGCCTCTAATCTGGGGTCACACCATTCCTGGATCACTCCAATTCCTGCCATGCTGGCCTCTCCAGGAGCCTGGCCAGGGATTAGGGGTTGGAGTTAGCTTTCTATACAGGGATTTCTTCTCTGCAGACTGCAATAAGGACAGTGTTTGAGGTTGGTGCTGGCACAACTGTCCGAGTAACAGCTGATTATGCCTACTGGCTTCCTCCTGACCCTTCCCACTCTGCTGTTGTGGGCCCAAAGAATGCAGGCTTATTTTAACATTAAAATAAAAAAAACCAAACTTGTTGCTGTCGAGTCGCTTTCGACTCACAGCGACCCTACAGGACAGAGTAGAACTGCCCCATAAGGTTTCCAAGGCTGTAATCTTTATGGGAGCAGACCGGCCACATCTTTCTCCCAAAGAGCAGCTGGTGGGTTCAAACCGCTGACGTGTCGGTTAGCAGCCAAGCGCTTAACCACTGTGCCACCAGGGCTCCTTATTTTAACATTAGTTCTAGCAAAATAAAATTATGAATATGTCAGCTACATATAAAGCAGACAATGTATATTAATTCAAAATATTTTTCGGATTATCTGTGCCCTTGCTTTCCTTCCATAACTACAGGTAATTAAGAATGATCTAGATTAGAACCTTGCTAGTGGTTGGAAGATCAGTAGCATTAACGAAAAGCTGGGTGTTTGTTAGAAATGCAAAACCTCAGGCCCCACTCTGCATCAACTGAACCAGAACCTGCATTTAAACAAGATTCACATGTACTTTTAAGTGGCAGACGCACTTGACCTAGAATACTGTGGCGGGGCAGGCCTACACCTTCTACATATTCTGCACGATGTCTGACACCGGACTTCTGAAATGACTGCATCTGTGCGATGAAATGGTTTCTAACAGTTAAGCTCCAACACAGTCATTGGGGAGGTTTCACTCTTGACTAAATTTTGCAAATACCATAGTATAAACATTCTGTCCTAAGGGGCTTAGGTGCAGGAACCAGACGCCCCTGTGGGACCCAGAAGCCAGAAATGACACTGATTTTTAGGCCAACTTGGTGGCTCTTGTGTGTCTCTCCAAGCAAGCAGGAGGTTTCGGTCCCAACACCCTTTCACATTCCCCCTTGCTCTGCACAAAGCTGCCTTGTACTCCCGTGGCCTTGGCCCTGGGTGAGGGCCAGCCCCCCACAACTTCACACCCTTTCCAGCAGCTGCAGAACAGTCCGAAATAAAGAGTGTGGTCAGGAGGCCTTCGGGACGTGCCCCGGGAAGGGAATGACAACAGCTGCTCCTACATTCTGGACCCCGAGCAGGCCCCAGGACACATGGCTGGGAGGAGGCTGCAAACGGATCAGGAAGGACTTTACAGGCAATCGGTGCCACGCTCGGGCACTTCACAGGCCCAGGGAAGAGAGCAGAGGGGGGTCTCCCCAGGGTATTCATAAAGCATAATGGAGCCAAGGCTGCTCCTTCCCAGCCTAGGCCCAGGGATGAGCTGAAAACCTCCAGCCACACACCCTCGGCACACTCCCCTTCTCCATCCTGTCCCACCAGGTGCACCCCACTTTGCTGCAGGGAACCAGCATCAGCCAGCCCTTCTCAAGATGTCCTAACATACAGCCTTTCTACAGTGGGGCCGGTGGGGAGTGAGGAGGGAACTGTGTTTACCAAACGGGACTGGTGAAATGAAATTATGATGTATCGATAGAATAGAATAGAATGCAGTCATAAAAAATGACGGTGCTCTTCTCTTTACATATTGATATGGAACGATTTCTAAGATAAACTGTTATGTGAAAAAAGCAGAGTGCAGAACGGTGTGTATAGGATGCTACATCTATATAAAAAAGAAGGAAAATATGTATGCCTGCTTGTGTTTAAGTACAGAATAAGCTTGAAAGATACACAAGAAGCTGACCACACGGATGAGCTGTGAGGAAGAGACCTGGGCACTGGGAGGAGGGCAGATACACTGTTCACCTTTTCACTGTGTACACTGTAAACACTACGGAACTGTTAGCACCTATTCAAAACACAAACATAAAATATGAAAAACCTATATAAAGATTTAACCTTTAATAATGAGGATACGTGTAGCTATAAAGGGATAGCACAAGGCGGTCGTATGGTGGTGGAATCATTCTGCGTCGTGATTGTGGTGGTGGTTACAGAAATCTACACTTGTGATAAAACTCCATAGAACTACACACACATGCAGAAAACAGTGCAGGTAAAACTGGAGACATCTGCACAGGCTCTGTGGATTGGACCAATGCCCGTATAATATGAGGATACTGTGTTAGAGTTATACAAGATGTTACTATTGGGGGAAATTGAGTGAGAAGTATAGGGGACTTCCCTGTACATTTTTTTTTGCAACTTCCTATGTATCTGTAATTATTTCAAAATAAAAAGTTTAAAAAATGTAATAATACAACAAGGGAGAAAGCATCACAGAATTACAGAATGGCAAAGCTGGACAGGATCTCATAGATTATCTAGTGCAGTGGTTTTGACCATTTTCAAGAAGTGGAATGCTTTATTCAAATAAAGTCTCCAGAGGAAGCCCAGCATGCAAAATACAGCCAAGTAAGCTCTGTGGCCAGGTGGGGTGACACCCAGAACCCACCTGCTCACACAAGCAACAGCTCCTCAGGGCAATGCTTGAAAACCACTACCTCCGGTCCATTCCTCTCAATTTACAGATGTGTCACTGAGGCTCAGGGAAGTGAAGCAACTGAGCCAAAGCCACACAGTATATTAATGATTGTGCTGGAACGACAGCTCATTCTCCTGAGCCCCTGTACAGTTTATCAGCAGCTAAGACACAAAGAAAGAGGGAGCAGAATGTGTGATGGCATGAAGCTGGCCCTCCCCTCCCATCAGGGCAGCCCTGGCTCCCCCCGCGCCCCCGCCAGTCCGTACCTGGAGCAGTGCAGCTGTCATGTAGAAGATGATGAAGATGAGTGTGAGGGTGGTATGCCCGCCCTGCATACAGCTGATAGTGTAGAGGAACACCAGGTGTCCTGGAACCACAAGGAGGAAGAGGACCCGGGCCGAGCGAGAATTCACATCTGGGTCCAAGAGAGAGAGGGTGTGAGGAGGATGAGGGGGAGTCCTGGCCCCAGAAGGCCTTTGAAAGTCAGGAGGGACCACACCGTACTCCAGGGCGCCAGACAGGTCTCTCCGCATCTCCATCCCACGGTCCCCAGTCCCAAGGGGGTCCCAGGAAAGGACAGCCCTCCAGAGCAGCTGGTACAGCCCAACAAGAAAAAGGGGACTTGTGTACCCAGGCCCCAGCTTTTTATTAAGTGAAGTTCATTGATTCTTGGCCCCCTCCCTCCAGGGATGGAATGGACCCAAGAGTCTGAGAAGCCGCCATTACCAGGGCTGAAGAACGTGGTACAAGGACTGGGGCAGCGGCGAGGGGCTTGCTCAGAGTTCTCCCCCGGCATTCCATTCATGTGCAGGAAGGTGGAGATGCGGCTGGCCTGGACCGCCACCAGATTGCCCCCAACACCTGCAGAGACACATAAGGGCTTAGACACGCGGGGGAGGCAATGGACCTCTTGTTCCTTGTCTTTACCAGTAGAAGTATCGTCCTTTATCTTCATTTAGTGTCTACGTGGGCATCGCCCACTCACCAGACCCAGGAGAAGAGCAAGACACTAAGAAGGAAGACAAAGACATCCCCTCTTGCAGCGAGTCTTCTAGGCTCTCCCACCCTCTCCTCGATGGAGATGCAGCAGTCCCATGAGCCCCTGCCATGGCTGTGAGAGTGCTGGAAAGGGCACAGGCAGAGCTGTAGATTCAGCCAACCCAACCTCTCCGCCAGTGCAGCAACTGCATCTGTCTTCACACACAGGCAAGGAAGGAGGCCCTCCTTCCCTCACCCTCTCCTCCAGTGCCCTGAGCAGAACCAGGCACCCAATGCTCATGCGCTGGCTCCAGTAACCGACTTCAAGTATTGGCTTCGAGTTTGGAATTCTGGAATCTGGTTCCTCCGGCACCTCTCCCCAGAAGGGTGCTGGTTCCTCAGTTTACCCTCTCACCCCACAACCCATCCCCTGCGCTGAGCCGTCACCATCGCCCCGAGCCATCACCATCGCCCCAAGCCATCACCATCGCCCCCAGCCTTCACCATTGCCCCGAGCCATCACCATCGCCCAAGCCATCACCATCACCCCAAGCCTTCACCATCCCCTGCACTAAGCCATCACCATCGCCCTGAGCCTTCACCATCCCCTGCACTAAGCCATCACCATCACCCCGAGCCTTCACCATCCCCTGCGCTGAGCCATCACCATCGCCCCGAGCCTTCACCACCCCCTGCGCTGAGCCATCACCATCGCCCCGAGCCATCACCATCCCCTGCACTAAGCCATCACCATCGCCCCGAACCTTCACCATCCCCTGCACTAAGCCATCACCATCACCCCGAGCCTTCACCATCCCCCCCGAGCCATCACCATCGCCCGGAGCCATCACCATTGCCCCGAGCCTTCACCATGCCCTGCGCTGAGCCATCACCATTGCCCCGAGCCATCACCATCG